GAGAGAGAGAGAGAGAGAGAGAGAGAGAGAGAGAGAGAGAGAGAGAGAGAGAGAGAGTCACGCGTACTCGCGTTTCGATTGGGGTTTTGAGTGTCGAATAGGAAGGAAACGCGAGCAGCTATTCGCGGCTGGCTGTAATGTAAATAGTGACCGGGACAGCAATAGATATCATGTCGGATGTGCGCGGGCTCATGTGTTCATTCGCGCATCTGTAGGCGGGCGTGCAAAATCTATATGAGTTACGGTACTACTAGTGTTTACATTACTATATTACTTTATTAACTTATACTTTATTACTTTATTAACTTATACTATATTATATTACTATTTACTACTTTTATGCTTTCAGCCTACCGATGAGATTAGGGAGATCGTTCCTTACATCGCTAACATCATGTTCGTCTGCAGCATGATGTCTCTAATCTGCCTCGCCATCACGCTCTTCATATTCTGCTACTTCAAGTGAGTACCACCAGCACGAAATTGATCCATCAATCGTATCTCTACATCAGCAACGAATATACGAAATAGAAGGAGAAAATAAAAAATAACGCCTGAAAATATCCACGCAAGTTGGCCTATGAGCGTTCGCTGTGCATCGGTGTAGAACGCTAGAATCATACAAAGTTCTATTATGTCATATACGAAACGATTTTATAGGGACACTCCGACTACTAATACTACTGCTACTACTACTACTACTACTACTACTACTGCTACTACTACTACTACTACTAATACTACTGCTACTACTACTACTACTACTAATACTAATACTACTACTACTACTACTACTGCTACTACTACTACTACTACTACTAATAATAATAATAATAATAATAATAATAATAATAATAATAATAATATAAATAATTGACCCATGTCTGGCGTTACTGTTGCCGCTGCTTTTCGCAGAGTATCAGTAATCTGTATCACTTGGGCGTGTATACCTCGCCGCGGTGTATAATGCAAAACCTGAGCAAATAATACGCTGATCGCCATGTTCGGTTATATACGTCAGTCGACTATGTTGCGTGCTGTCATCTGGTGGCAGCTGTCGCGTTGGTCAACACGAGAGGGGGTTATCACGAATTTAACCGTACTATTCAAATATCGTTGACATGATCAACGCTGTTAGTCGACTAGCTCTGACGCATCGGTGGTTGCAACGATGGATAGTCACTCCCTATATGTATATATAATAGCGTCGTCAACATCATAATAGTCGCCGACGTTGATGTTGCTGATGCTGCTGCTGCTGCTGCTGCTGCTGCTGCTGCTGCTGCTGCTGCTGCTCTCTCTCTCTCTCTCTCTCTCTCTCTTTCTCTCTCTTTCGCTCTTTCTCACTTTCTCTTCTCCCCGTCACGAGCGTGCATTTTCGCTCCCCTCCTCTCGCTCTCCTTCAACTCATCTCTCTCTCTCTCTCTCTCTCTCTCTCTCTCTCTCTCTCTCGCATTCGCTATTTCTCACGTCCTCTCTTACTCTCGCTCTTTCTTTCTCAATCTCTCTTTCTATCTCTCTCTTTCTTTCTTTCTCTCTCTTTCTCTCTCGCGCTCTCTCTTTCTCGCTTTTTTTCTCTCTCTCTCTTTCTTTCTTTCTGTCTCTCTCTCTCTCTCTCTCTAGCTTTCTCTCTCATTGTCTCTCTTGCTTTTCTACCTCGCAACTCCCTTTTATCGCAACGTTTACTCTCTCTCTCTCTCTCTCTCTCTCTCTCTTTCTTTCTCTCTCTCTCTTTCTCTCTCTCTCTTTTTTTCGTTCTCTGCCTTCACCCCCTCTTTATCTGTCGCCCGCTTTCCCACCCCGTTAAGCCTGCGGGTAGCAGCGTCTGTAATTGGCGCGTGCCTTCACTGCTCTCCTTGCGTAACATTGCGGACGTTGCGCGCCTCCTGCATGAGTTAGCATCACGCCTCACTAACAACAACGACCACACGCCAAGCTGAAAGCATGCTCTAATGACGTGGTGGACTGCAGCAGGGGTGGACGGTGGGGGGGGGTGTTGGACGGAGGGCGGCGGTAGTCGAGTCATTTTTGTTTACATATCTGCGATGTTAAGAGTATTATTCCGCGAGACGGCGTTCTTGGAACGTTCAAATAACGTATCGTACCCTTTTGCAACCAACTCACATCGAAGTACTACGTACTACAAGCAAAAGATGTGACGTTTTACATTTATACTCACACAAAGAGCTGCTGTCTACAAGCAGTAGTAGCAGTGTTAGTAGTAGCATAAACACACACATATATATATATATATATATATAGATAGTATATATATATATATGTATTTATTTAATTATATATAGATGTTACTCTATATATATATATATATATATATTAATTTATGTAGCAATAGTAGTAGTAGATGCTGCTGCGGTTGTTGTTTTTGTTGTTGATGTTGTCATAACAGTCATAGTTAGTTTCATTCATCGGGAAACTATTGATAGCATATTTGGCAGGCTAATGTGTGAGGGTCATACTCCCGTTAGACTCATCTAACCTGCTATATTGCCCCGCGCGCTCCACCACACAATACGGTTCCTAGCCTAGCCCAACGTGACATAAAGGGTGTTGATCACGTGCCCAAAAGTTGGGTGGGAAAGAAATCATAGTGGATCTCTATCTCTTACGGAGATGTTTGTGAGAAATGTTGGTGCTCCATGAGCCACGGCATATACAATATCAGCACTCTCCGTACACATTGCACGCGCACGCGCACGCGCATGCGCACGCACGCACTCACACTCTCACTTTTTTACACACTCCCTTGCTCTCTCTCTCTCTCTCATTTACAGAGAGCAGGAGAGAAAGCGGAGGGGAGGGTATTAGAGCGCATGCGACAGAGAGAGCGAAAGGGAGAGAGAAAGCGAGAGAGAGAGAGAGAGAGAGAGAGCGCGCGCGCGAGAGCGAGAGCGAGAGAGAAAAGATGAAATGATAGTGACTCTTTACGTTAACACTAATTCATGATTAGCAGGTATATGACTCACCTTGATCACTGCCCAAAAGCTTTTAGCGGTAACTATCTACTAACGTAATTACGCTTTCGTGTGCAGGTTCAGATTTTTTGGGCTCTATATCTTTTCCAGCAAATAGCGTTTCATAACGTGTATGAAGTCGTTTGTTCAACAACGATACTATTATAGAGTGAAACTCCAGATACGAATTTAATTCGTTCCACAGATTTGTTCGTATCTCGAATGATTCGTATCTCGAACCCTATATAGAACACACAGCAATTTACGTACAGCAAGTGCAATCATGAGAGCACAACCACATTCAATGATTCACGCACTTAAACTGTATTTGATTTTCTACGACGCATGTTGTCTCCTGTCCTCCTGTTGTCGGTATAACTTTCATATACACCGGACAAATTACAATACCCGCAGGTCGGGAGATGATAAAATATGGCTTCTATATGTAACGTGAATAATCTACTCCATATAAGCACCATTAACTCTACCGCATCACACCGTATATAGTGCGAAAAACCCGAGCAACGCTTCATGTCGATGAGATATTATGATTGATAATCACAATGGTATCGTATTACAATTTTCGCAGGTGGAGCGATGGCGAATGACATCACTGATCAGGCTGGTATCTACACAGTTATACTGCACACAACCACTGTCAGCGCACGTGTATAGTGTAACGCACTAACACGAGCCGCCTAGCAAACAACGTTCTCCGGTCCCACTAGCAGCAGCAGCAGCAGCAGCAGCAACAGCAGCAGCAGCAGCATCCAGACTAGCATAATGGCGAGTGTCATGGAGTCGTCCACCGTCGAGCCGAACTTGAACGAGACGGCAGCCAGCAACGCGACAGAGGAAGAGCTGGAGATGCGATGGCTGCGCACTGCCTACCTGCGACCGCTCAACACGTCCCTCGAACAGTTCGAGCAGGTGCTGACCTACCTGCACGCCACGGTCGCTGCTAGCGGCGGCGGCGCCGGAGGAGGAGGGAATGTGTCGCAGGAGCAGCTCCTGCACGGAGATGACTCGCCGCTACGTAGCGAGGACTTCTACAGCTCGTATAATTGCCACCTCGGCATCGTCACGATGCGAGATGCCATCGCAGCACGGAACGGTATGTATGGCAGCACCGCAAGATGGCGCCAACAATCGGGGGCAGGCGTCGGAGTTAGTATGCAAACTCCACGACAGATGGCGCTCTCGCTCTGGCTCAATTACTGTGTTGTACGAAGGGGGCGCTGCATGCACTTTGGTTAGTATGGGATAAAGAAAGGACGCTAGGTGTGGGCAGCATGGTGAGAGGGCGCAACAATCAGGCAGACGTCCGAAATAATATGTATAGGGTTAAAGAAAGAACGTTAGGTGGTTGTAGCACCGCGGCAGGGCGCCACATTCGCGCAGACGTCGGTAGTGGTTATTATATGGGGATTACCAACAGCGTTGGGTATTATATATCGGAGATTGACACCGATGATTACACTGAGTACTATTCATTGGGGATTCGTAGCAATCTATATAAGGGTGTTAGATATGTTGCGGCGATGTAGCGTGGGGAGTGTAGCAAAGTGTCTAATGTTATGTGTATTATGGTGTTTCTTTTCGTTGTTGTTTTTGTTTTCTTTGTTAATAACGTTGTTGTCGTTGTGTTTGTTGTTTTTGTTGTGGTCTCTTTATCAATATCTTCTCTCTGCTTCTTTTTTAATGTTATCCATTGCCTCCATCCCCCGACGTCACCGTTCCGATCTACATGAATGCTGTTCCACTAAGTCGATATATATATATATATATACCCCGACTCGCCCTTCCCTATTCGCCCCTCTCGCCTCTACCCTATTTCTCGCCCTTCCCTATTCACCCCTCTCGCCTCCACCCTATCTCCCGCCCTCCCCTATTCACCCCTCTCGCCTCCACCCTATCTCTCGCCCTTCCCTATTCACCCCTCTCGCCTCCACCCTATCTCTCGCCCTCTCCTATTCATCCCTCTCGCCCTTCCCTATTCGCCCCTCTCGCCCTTCCCTATTCACCCCTCTCGCCTCCTTCCTATCTCTCGCCCTCTCCTATTCATCCCTCTCGCCCTTCCCTATTCGCCCCTCTCGCCCTTCCCTATTCACCCCTCTCGCCTCCTTCCATATATATTTATATATATATACACACACACACACACACACCACAACACACACACACACACACACACACCACA